TTTTTTCTAGATCATTATAATGAATACAAAACTAATTATTACAATACTTCTCGTTTCGATTTTCTGTTTTGAATTCGGTCAAGGTAAAATTTTAAAGACTTCATCAATATATATACATGTATATATATGATAATTTTAGGTCTTCAATGCTATCAACATGATTATTGCATTGGTGGATGTCCAACATTAGCATCAAGTGTTGTTCAATGTGCATCAACTCACAGTAAATGTTGGGTATGAAAATAAATTCATATTCTTAATCTTTTTATAAATATATTTTTCATTTTGAAGAAAATGAGTTCACCAATTGGTACAAAACGTGGTTGTGGTAAGTCTTTAAATATGAAAAGGTTTTTCATAAATAAGTTTTTATTTTTAAAGGTGATAATCGATGTATGGTACAACTTGATACCGGTATTATGGGTACTGCTAGTGTATGTTGTTCAAATGATCTTTGTAATTCGGCTATTCCAAAGCAAACTACAACAATGGCAGTTCTTTTTGGAAGTTTAATCGCTTTTGTATATGCCTGGTGTATCTAATGATTAGATATATATATAAACATTTCTTATTTCTTTCTTCATTTCTTGTACTATCAAAATTGTTCTTAAAATAAAACATAAACGAAAATAAATGATTAAGTATTTTATCTAAGGATTTAGTGTATTATAAGATATATGATAATGAAATACGTGTTTGCATATATCCTAATGCTAAACAGGTTAGACGACAAATTGATCGGTGCTTGTCTTTTTTCGATTACTTATTCTAATCAGACTAAACAAGAAAGAGAAAGAGAATAGATCTGAACGCTTATTCATCATTGTACGTATTGTCGAACGATGAACTTTCTTTCTATTCTTCTATATTTTTACCGCAGACGAAGATATCTAGTGGTGTCCATCATCATCGACTGTCTCCTTCCTCATTTACCAACACTCGACGGTCAATACCATGGGCTTATATTTTTTTTCTACTGAATGGCCTGTCTATAGAAATAAACCGCAGACGATAGCATGAGAGAAAGAGAATAATAGATACATTTTCTTCTTCTCTCTCTCTCTC